CGTCCCCGCCCCGCTCCACCCGGCTCGTCACCTGCTCAGGCTCCGCCCCGTCCCGTGTTCCGCCGGGCCTTAGCCCAAAGGTCGAGCCTTTGGGAACTGGAGCTCTCCAGACGTTCCCCCAACCCCGTGCCTCCTCGTACTGAAAGAACCTGGGCTCCGGTGGTACGTCCCCCTGCTTCAGGCCCTGGGTTTGCTCTGGGAGCGGGGCGCTGACAACTGCGTAATGGGGGGCATTGGGCCTGGCGCCCCAACCTGCCCGGCTCTGGCCCCGCCCTCTGAGCGCACGCTGCGGCTCCGGCTCCTCCCAGAGCCCTTCCTGGACCTGAAATCCCCGTCGCAAATCTGCCCAGGGCTCCCGCCTGTGGATGACCCCCGCCCTCTCCGCTGACCCCAGCTGCTCCACCCAGTTCTCCCAGGCCTACCAGCTGAAGAGTTGCTGCTGGACTCCAGCCGGGTCATCATGGGCAGCCCCGAGGGCCGCTTCCATTTTGCCATCGACCGCGGAGGCACCTTCACCGATGTCTTTGCCCAGTGCCCAGCGGGGAACGTGAGGGTCTTGAAGCTGCTCTCGGAGGACCCTGCCAACTACGTGGACGCACCCACGGAGGGCATCCGCCGCATCCTGGAGCAGGTGGCCAGGGCGCAGTGGTTCGATGGGGAGGGACGCTGGGGCCAGAGGCCTGACACTGACCACGTGGTTTCCAGGAAGGGGGCATGCTATTGCCACGGGACCGGCCACTGGACACCACGCGCATTGCCAGCATCCGAATGGGCACCACGGTGGCCACCAATGCACTGCTAGAGCGTCGGGGGGAGCGAGTGGCGCTGCTGGTGACACGTGGCTTCCGAGACCTGCTGCACGTGGGCACCCAGGCCCGCGAGGACCTCTTTGACTTGGTGAGATCACTGTGCCGTAAGGCGGCTGGGTTGCGCAGCTTATTTTCCCAGGGATGCTGTGGCCCCTCAGGGAGGGCAGTCCTTGGAAGTGTCAGTGACAGCCCAAAGCCACCAGCTGATAGGCAGAGGAGGTTCCAGGCACTGGTAGCAGAATGCTGCGTCCCCTCAGCCTTCAGAGACGTCACATGTCGTGCTGTTCCTGTCTGCCCCCATGCCCTGTGCTGGGCCCCAGGTGTGGGGCAGCCCAAGCCAGCCTGTTCAGGATGGGGGCCGGGAGCCTGGCCCCACCCCCACCCCCATCGCTGGTTCTAGGAAGTTGCTGCCCTTGTGAGCACAGGGCCATTGGCCACTCAGATGTCTGGGGGCAGCGAGCCTTGCCTGCCCCTTCTGCTTGTCTCCTGGCCTGGTCAGCTGGCCCGTTGGGACACCTTTCCTCGCCTGCACTGCCCCACCCACTCAGGACCCCAGCCTGGGCCTCCTCTGAGCCTCTGCCCACCCCCAGGCCGTGCCCATGCCCGAGGTGCTGTACGAAGAGGTGCTGGAGGTGGACGAACGTGTGGTGCTGTACCGTGGGGACCCAGGCTCCGGGACACCTGTCAAAGGTGCACATGCCTCAGATGTTGGGGTTCCGGGGGCAGCATGCCCTGATGGGCCTTTGACAGGCTGATGATGACTCCCCGGCAGGCCGCACAGGGGACCTGCTGGAGGTACAGCGGCCCGTGGACCTGGGGGGCCTGCGTGGGAAGCTGGAGGGACTCCTGTCCAGAGGCATCCGCAGCCTGGCCGTGGTGCTCATGCACTCCTACACGTGAGTGCAGCTGGCGGGATAGGGGTCCTGGGGGGGCCGCGGGGGTGCAGTGCCCTGAGTCGTTGTCACAGGTGGGCCCAGCACGAGCAGCAGGTGGGCGCACTGGCCCGGGAGCTGGGCTTCACGCACGTGTCACTGTCGTCGGAGGCCATGCCCATGGTGCGCATCGTGCCCCGGGGGCACACAGCTTGCGCGGACGCCTACCTCACGCCTGCCATCCAGCGCTACGTGCAGGGCTTCCGGCGCGGCTTCCAGGGCCAGCTCAAGGTGAGGCACCGCCTACCTGCCCCCTGCGGCCCCCCAGTGCCCGCCCAGCCCCTCACCGTGGCTCCGCCCACAGGACGTGCAGGTGCTGTTCATGCGCTCCGACGGTGGCCTGGCGCCCATGGACTCCTTCAGTGGCTCCCGCGCTGTGCTCTCCGGCCCCGCTGGTGGTGTGGTCGGCTACTCGGCCACCACCTATAGGGCGGAGGGGGGCCATCCTGTCATCGGCTTTGATATGGGAGGTATGAGGGCCGAAGCGTGGCATCTGGGGAGGCTCAATGGCCAGGCTGGGCAATGCCAGGCATCAGGCCTGTGAGCGGCTCTTCACCCCTCCGCCCCCAGGCACATCCACTGACGTGAGCCGCTATGCTGGGGAGTTTGAGCACGTCTTTGAGGCCAGCACAGCCGGTGTCACCCTCCAGGCCCCCCAGCTGGACATCAACACAGTGGCAGCTGGTGGGGGATCCCGCCTCTTCTTCAGGTCAGCCCCTCCACCTGGGCCAGGACCCCCAGCCCTGCCTCCCAACCCTCCTCCAATTCCAGTCCTCCCTCCCCCCGCCAAGGTCTGGCCTCTTCGTGGTGGGACCAGAGTCTGCAGGAGCCCACCCTGGCCCCGCCTGCTACCGCAAAGGTAAGGGCCGGTATCCACCCTGCAGGCCCCTCCCCATGCTGCTCAGACCCACCCACCTCTCCAGCCCCGCCCCTGCTGCCCACTCCCAGTCCCCAGCTTTAGCTCCCAACCGGCAAACTGTGCACACCTCCCAGGGGGCCCCCTGACAGTGACTGACGCCAACCTGGTTCTGGGTCGGCTGCTGCCTGCCTCCTTCCCCTGCATTTTTGGGCCGGGAGAGGACCAGCCACTGTCCCCTGAGGCCTCACGAAAGGCACTGGAGGCTGTGGCCACCGAGGTCAACAGCTTCCTAACCAACGGGCCTTGCGCGGCCTCTCCGCTGAGCCTGGAGGAGGTAGCCATGGGGTTCGTGCGTGTGGCCAACGAAGCCATGTGCCGGCCCATCCGCGCCCTTACACAGGTACATCAGCTTTTGCCCTCGCCTCACAGTCCTGCCCCTGCCTCGGGCAGGCCCACGGGCGTGATGGGTGGGGAGCCCGACAGCGCTGGGTGAGCCCCTGACTGCCTTCTGTCTGCCCAGGCACGAGGCCACGACCCTTCAGCCCATGTGCTGGCTTGCTTTGGGGGAGCTGGCGGGCAGCATGCCTGTGCCATCGCCCGGGCCCTGGGCATGGACACTGTGCACATCCACAGGTGTGTCTGGGCGTGGACCGCGGGTCCTAGGGTGGGGGCCGGCTTTGGGAGGTGCCGCACCCTCACAGTCACGTGACCCTGCCTCACAGGCACAGCGGGCTGCTGTCAGCATTGGGGCTGGCTCTGGCAGACGTAGTGCATGAGGC